CAGAGGGAGGAAGAAGCAGCGGCGGCGGCGGCTCCTCTTTGCAGAGGGGGAAAACTCTGAGGGATAAGAGCAGGAATAATGCGTCAGGAAAGGCGGGCTCCCGGCTCCCGGCTCCCGGCTCCGGCAGCAGAAGCGGCAGCCCGAGCAGCGACAGCGACAGCACCCTCAGGCTCTGACAGCCCCACCAGCCGGCTCCCTCGCTGACCGCCGACTGTCAATGGAGCTGGAAAACATCGTGGCCAACACGGTCTTGTTGAAAGCCAGGGAAGGTAAGAGGCAGGGCCAGTGCGTGCCTGGCTCATTCGCCGCGGGTCAGGGTGCGGGTGTCGGCCGGCGTGTGGGCTGGGGCGTGTGCGTGTAGGATGCCCGCAGTGAGTTGGTCGCGAGCAGGACATCTCGGAGAGCTGCTCCGCAAACGCTTCAGGGTTTTGCCCTTGGGCTCAGAGAATCTGGACTTGGGTAGAGAAGGAAACACATCGAGGTTGCAGGGATTAGGATGCTAAAATATCCCCTAGTTTCCTGCTCTAACCTTACAGACATCGCGGCAGCTGTTGAAAGGTCAGTTGGAAAAAGCATTCATTCAGGAAGAGATGGACAAACATGAAAATAAAATAGCTTTTCGAGTCTGCCCGGGATGGTTCTGAGTGTGAATTGGTGTGTGTGCGTGTGTGTATGTGTGTGTATGTGTGTTGCTGGGGGTGGAATTAGCAGAAGCCAAGTCTTTGCTTGCGCAGGCTGAGTTGATACAGGCTATTGCTGGAAACCATCCGCTGGGAATGTTTCTTAGGGAAATCCCGTCGTGTGGAAGGAAGCCTTTTAAAGGCAAAGTAAGATGTTGAGGAATTAGCCCGTTCCTAGAATAACGAGAGGATGGCTGTACATATCACCTAGAAAATAATTCAGGATTTCAGACGTGTTTTTTTTTTTCTTTTCTTCTTCTTCTTTTTTTTTTGGACTGGGGATGGGAGTAACTGAATTGTTTGATTTTGGCTCACTTAAGAAAAGAAAGGTAAATGTACCAGTGCTTAGATGCGTCTTGGGTGCAAATCATTAGATTTCCTGCATTTAGTTGGCAGGAAATGTCTAAACGGAATGGGTAAGATCCTGAAGTCAAAGCTATAAACACGTTTTGACGCTTCCCTGAGATGAAAAAAAAAAAAAAAAGTGGCTCGGAAACTTAGATGCTTCCTAAAATGATTGTGTGCCTGTAAACATACAGATTTAGGAACACCTGGAATTTATGTAACATCTCTTTTGCCAAGATTTGAGCTTTGGCGTGCAGCCTTTTTATAAAACGGGGAAGTGGTTTTTCCCTTTCATGGGAGGAGGCTTTATTTGACACCCAAGGTAGAAGACAGCCTAAGTAAGGTCTTGACTTCAGAAGGATACTCAGGGAGCAGCCCACGAAAATGCCTTACCTACCTCTTAATATTTTTATTCACCCACTTTGATGAATGAAGGAAGAATTTTTGGCCAGCGATAAAACGATTCATGTTTATTCAGCCGGTTCCATCACCTTGTGGCTCTTATACACGCTGTGCGGGTTAGAGTGATGCACAGCCCATTAATTCAACTCAGCGTTCACGTCGTAATTTCGTCGTCATTTGTCGCTCTAAAGCAACCGCCTGGAAGATTTGCTTTGAAAACCTGAGCAGAGTTTAAAATATGCAGGTCCATCCTCTCCCCAACCCCGGCCCAATTGCTCAGTTTTGGTGTGAGAACAGATTTGTAGGAGAGGCTGTTTCTTGGCAACTTCAGTTTCTAAGGCCTGATGTTTTTTCTTTTTTCCTAACCTGAAATTTTAGCGAGCGGAAACAAGGTGGGGGACTGATGGTTTCTCCCGCAGACTGGGCAGTGCATCCTGGAGGGGAAGAAGCGGAGCAAAGAACCCCTTCCCACCCGCCCCAGCTCTCAGCCTTTGCAGCCGCCACCTAGTGGTGGGACATGGTTGTATTTCTCAGGGCTCGGAGGCTGGGAAAGTTTTTTCCCTCCCTCCATTCTGAAATTATTTCTTGGGAAATCACTGAATAGGATGGTGCTGGAGGCTTCGCAAGTTTCACTGGTTTCTCCTGTTGCCCCGGGGAATTCTGCTCCCGAGATTTGCTGCTCTACACGTTCCTTTGCCTGGGGCATGCTTTTTCTTCCCTCCTCATTTGGTTGCTTCTTTTCAATGTTTTGCTTGGAGTGGGCAAAGTATTATCAGTTTTCTCCCCCAAATTTGTCTGCCCAGTTTTTATTTTTCACCGAAATGAATTCACCGCCTGATATTTTGGCTTGTCAGGTTAACAAATTTTTTTTTTTTTTTTTTTTTTCCAGAACCTTAGGGAGGAAAGAGCTCTGTAGGCTTTCACTTCAGGGTTTTGCTTCAGGGAAGCTTATATAGGTTGACGGAATTACAGTGATTAAAAGCGCTCAAGAATGTGCCTTACACTTCCCTTTCCTTTTAAAGTCTTTTCAATTTCTCTTTGAGAGTTTGGTAGTCAGCTCATGGTGAGAAAATAGCTCTCGACGTTGCCTTTGAAGTGGAAAGGGCCTTGCCTGTATGGAACTGGAGAGACTGACACATGAATAAGAAAAATTAATCACGTGGAACCCATTTTTAAATTTGCATTTCTTTCCCTCTTTTCCTCTTCCGTCTAAACAGAATCCACGATTTTAAGTGCTCCCATTTTCTTCTTGCTGGGTCTTTATTAAAAATGTGAGCACGTATATTTTAATTAGTGTAAAAGCTTTTAGAAATAAAAGCAGTTAATTTTTCTCTTCTCAGTTCACATGTACTTGAAGTGATTTTTTTCAATTAAGTAATTCTGCAAATAATCATATTTTCCAAATATTCAGAAGTGAAAGTTCCAGTCAGTTTAGTAAAATACTAACATAAAATTTATAGTCTCTTAAGAAATCTCAGTTGTTTGGAATGTTTAAAACACTTCTTATTTGAAGATTCTTGTGAATGGTTACAAATGAGAAATATAATTGGTGAATGTGAAATTTAATTTAGTTCACTTAACAAAATATATTGTAAACAATCTGAAACGTGGCTTTCAAGTAAGTCATGTTTGTCTCAAACAACAGAGAAACAGGCCGAGAAGAAAGACAGACACACTTTGCAAATGCTGTAAAGGAATTTGTAGCTGATATGTTGGTGAATAATTTGGGGGCCTATCTTTTGTTATTATTATGCATTCTGAAAAGCAGATGACTTCTAAATTCACAGTAAATTCAAATTTGTACCATGATAAAACATAAAGTGGAAAACATGCATATAGCAATATATTAAAAAACATGAATATAGAAAACCTATAAGTAGATTAGAGCAAAAATGATTCATTATTAGTAATTAGAAAACAAAGCAAGCAAATTGCACCTTTGTGATGTTTTGAAATAAGAATAGGTCAAGATCTGGGTTCAAAATTTTAAATCACCCAAATGTATTTTGTGGGCCATTTATTTGTCCTGATCTTATGAGAAAATACCAACTTGGTCTCTCTTAGGAACTTTAGATTACTCCCCTAAAAAATGATTAAGGAAAAAAAAGAAAGAAGTGGAGACTGAATTCATGCCAATTTATGGAGATGAGCTAAGTGATTAAGCATTTAATGAAAAGAGGCCCAGACTAACTCTATCTATTTATTTACATTTCAGAATCTCAGAAGATTGGCAAGCAAGCTAGTGTTGAAATAGTAGTAGTGAGAAAGAGTCTTTGCAGAGTCTTTTGTGGGTGCATGTGGGGTTTTTTTTTTTTTTGCTGTAAGGATTTTTGTGTTTTTCTCATATTCTAGATCCGTTGCCTCACTCTTGAGTGAACAGTGGTGAGAAGAAATTTTGCAGGGTTCTACCTTTCCTATCTCCACAGGCAGGTGACAGAGGGAGTACTGATCATATTTTCCTGAGCATGATTCTAGCAGGCACCAGGCACAGGAACTGAGACGTCAGAAGCCTAATGACTTTGCCATTGATCACAGTTGCTGAAAACAAGAATATGTGAGAACCATTTCCTCAGACAAATCGGTGACTTGTTGTCCTGGCTCTTCCTGATGATCAAGACTGGGGTCCTGGGAAAAGGTGAAGCTGGGGGCCAGCCGAGGCTAGGGAGGGCAAGAGGAAGTGGGGAACGGCATCCAGCCCACGAGGGCCAGGCTCTGCTTGGACAGACGCAGCATTCCACAGCAAGATGAAAGCCCAGGCTCTTCTTCCTTCTTTCTCTAAGACCACTAGTTCTTCACAATGAAATTGAAACATTGGTGTTTTGTTATTAGAACACTGAAATGTCTCTGAAACTCACAGCCCTCTTACTGCTATCGGCAGGCGTACGTATGGCAGCCTGTGGCTTCGCCCTTGAATCTGATGGCACAGAGGAGCAATAGCGTTCATCCTGGCACAGGCAGCCAGGAGTGTGGAAATGCTGGCTGGCCTGTTAAGCACAATGCCATTACATGACGCTCCCTTTTATTTTTTCTAAGTTTCTTTTCAGTACCATCACCTTGGAGGTAGAGAAACCAAAAGCAATGTTTTCAGGTCTTGCTCTCTTCCAGAAAGATTTCAAGTGATGATTTTAATGAACGCAGTTGCTTATTTTTAAAATCATCAGGTAAATGCCCACAAGATTCTCAACTTTCAAGAGCTTAGCTGCTTCTTGTCAGATTCTAAACTCCAAAAAGCTTGATTCTTCCAGTGCCCAAACTAATCTGTGTTTAAATTATGTCTCCAGGAGCTGTCACTCTTGTAATTGCTTGCTAAATGATACCCTTTAGGTCTGGGCTGAAAACTTCTGTAACGTCCAAGTGAATTTCAGGAAAGAGCTCAACAGATGACCAAATTCACTGTCACCAAGGGCTATTCCACTCATACCCGGGAACTCCCGATATTCTTAGGAAACCATCCAGGATTTCAGGCAATATTTAAAGTTAATATTTGTTGCCAATATATTTGTGGCTCAAGATAAAGCATTGTAATATCTAGACATTTTTGAAATAAAAAACTCTTCTGGTTCCAAAAAGATTTCACTGAAGTAGATCATGCAACTCAGAGGTGAAACTTGAGGAACAATAGAAATTTGACTACAAATAGGTGACACATAGAAAAGGAAATTAGGAATTTCTTCAGTCTTACTACCCCCAACCCCCACATCTACATCAAAATAGAATAGTGAAGACAAAGGGGTTTAAGATGTGATTTTAAATGATTAAAATGAATTATTGGGCTTAGATAACAGGAACATAGTAGTTTTTCTACTTTAAAACACATCCTTTTATATTTCAGTGAAAATTGT